GGCACAAAGAAAACTTGATTTATGCACCTGAAGGACGTATCTTAGCAACGGCTGTGAAGGAAATGTACTGAGAAACTTTCTCTAGGCTTTGTCTAGAGGGAGTGCCACAATGGAGGTTAAAGCAATTTAACATGTTCTCTACAGTGCAGTTTATATGTAGTTGTATTAATTTTAAGGAGAAAAAAAAGGCAATTAGTTTTCCTATTTGATAGTAGATTTGTTTGTTCTTAAAATACACATCCCCATGCCATGGTAGGAATTATGAATAAATTCTCTAAAGAGTATCTTCGGATTTCCCAAGAAATGTTAGGATTATTTTAAGAAGTTGTTTAGAATTCTTAAAAAATGTAAGATAAAATTCCACTTCCCATACATTTCTGTTTGTTAATTTAAAGTATAGCTTTCTGGGGGAATAATATTTTCTTCTGAAATAACTAGAAATTCACAGGAGGTGGGAAAGAAATGTATAGGAATGTCCTCTGCACCCCTCTTCCAGTCCCATAAAAAATCATGACTGTTAGTTTTCTTATGAAATGAGAAATTAAACTTAAGGATCCAAGTAGAAAGTGGGTTGCTTCAGTTCTGGCTCCAGGGTGAAACTGGAGAACAGAGCACAGCTGGCTTCTGATTCACTTGCATGGAAATGGAGAGTCACAGCAAGTGAGGGCAGCAGGGGCATCGGACAGCACACCAACTATCCAGCCACTCGTCTCACTCCTTTCAGGGTCCTCCCTGCTCCCATCTCAAAATTCAAAGCAACTGGGTTTAGGGAGAGTGTAAGACCAGGCTCACATGGGTATAGTGCGGTTAGGCAAAGTCTGTAGGTTTTGCCCCCTCTTCTTCCCCAGGATGCTAGCCCTTGTCTTTGAAGGCAGCAGACCTACCCCCCCACCAACCTCCACCCCGCTTTAAAATTAAGGGTCCCTACTCCCACCAAGAGTAATCAATTCAAGATCACATGCAAAGAAAAATATTTGTTTGGGAGAAGTTGGAAAGAGATACAAAAATTTTAAGTCATTTATTTTAAACTAAGCACATAAAATTCTACCAAAGATGCATTAAAAATATTTGAAATTGCACTTTAATTTCATATTTTGTCTGGTTGAGGAGGGAGGTAAAAAGAGAAGAAAGTAAATTTCAATTGCAGAAAGAAAAAGAAAGGGAAGGAATGAGTGGGGTTGGGGGAGAGTTATCACCCTTAGGTCAGGAGCGGAGGTTCAAGGAGAATTTTGACTTTTAGGTAAGTTAATGTCCCATGGAAGAGTGAGTTTCAGGGTGTCATGTATTGAAATGTTAATTAATGGGTTAACCATTCATCTGACTTCTTGGACTGCTACAGACATAAGAGCTTCACCCAGCGGGTTACAACTGAGCCACTTGACACCACCCCTCCTCAGGAAACTCCAGGACCAACTTTGTTGAACAGTAGTTACTTTCACATTACTATCCTTCACACACACCCCCATCTCTTTCTCACTCCAAAGAGTGTCAACTCAGATCTGCATTAGGGACATCCCCTGGGAAGTTGTTAGAAATGCAGAATTACAGGGGGCTGGGGATGTAGCTCAGTTGGTAGAGTGCTTGCCTAGCATGCACAAGACCCCAGGTTCAATCTGAGCACCACCAAAAAAAAGCAGAATTACAGGTTCTGCCCCAACCGACCTTCCAAAACAGAATCTGCTGGTCTCTGTAGCTTTTTTCTTATCCTTTTCCCTTCCAGATTGCCACTTGTCTTGCAGAAACAAGGCTTAATCACTTGGAGAATCTTACTTCAAAGTCTTATTCCTTTGGTATTTTCTTACCTCAAGGATAGGTTCCCCAGCTCCCTTTGCACCCTTTTTCTCCCCATTCCTGTCTTTTTCTCCTCTCATGATTGTGCCATCTCTCTAACTTTAGAAAGATCAGATGACCTGGCTGTGCAAACGCCCCCCCCCACACACACACACACCACTCCTTCCCCTCACCTCCCTCCCTCATTCTGCTGTGCCTCAAAATATTCCTGGTCTCTGCCACCCTCTATTCTTAAGTCTCAGATAAAGTACCATCTTCCTTATTTCTAAGCTAGTTTGAAACACTTTCTCTTTTCCCTTCTCAGAGATCTTGCTGTCTTACTAGTCTTCTTTCTCTGGGAATTATTTCTGTCATTTCTACTAAGCCCTTCCTTTTTGCATCCAAAGGTGCAGAGAGATCACAACACACACAGTCATATTACTTGTTCCTATTCTTCTCTGATTTGTAATCTGTTTCACCCCTTTCACAATCGGGTTTCTCACACAAATGGTCTGGAATACTGTTTCCAGGTTGAATGATTTTGCGTCCTGGCTCCAGGGACATTTGGCAATGTCTGGAGACATTTTTGGTTGCTTCAAATTTAGGAAATTCTATTGGCATCTAGTGGGCAGGTAGAGTTGAGGGATGCTATGAGATATCCTATGATGCCCATGACTGCCCTCTCCCCAACAAAGAATTACCAGGCTGGGATAAACAGAGATCCCAGTTTGCCTTTGATTTTTCTAGTTACAGCACTGAAAATCCTGTGACTCAGGAAAATTCTTAGTCCTGGGCATAACTGGACTACTACTGGTTGCCAAATGATTCCAAATGTCAAAAGTGTCAAAGTTGAGAAACTCCAGAAGGAAGACCCATTAATTTTACTTTTTTTTTTTTTTACTAACGCCCTTCATATGATGTGACCTTTAATTTTTATCTTTTCTATTGAAACTATTTTCTTTCCTCTTCCCTTTATTTATTTATTTAGTTTTTGGCAGTACTGGGGATCGAAACCACAGTGCTCTACCACCAGGCTACACCTTCAGCCCTTCAAAAAAAAAAATTTTTTTTTTTTTGAGTCAGGGTCTTGCTAAGTTGCTGAAGCTGACCTCAAACTTGAAATCTTCCTGCCTTGGCATCCTGAGGCACTGGGATTATAGGTGTGTGCCACCATGTCCTGCTTTATTGAAACAATTTTCTTGAAAGAGATTATCTTCGAACCAATAGTCATTCTCCTTCAACCAAGCTTTTGACTTGACTCTGTGTGTGTGTGTGTATGTGTGTGGTGGGGGGGCGGTTGGCGTACAAACCCTCAAACATCCTAGGCAAGCACTGTACCACTGAGCTATGCCCCTAGCCCACCCCTCTTTTGTGAGATAGGGTCCCCTATGTTTCCCAGGCTGACTTGGAACCCCTGAGCTCAAGCAGGCCTCTGCTTCCCACTTTACTATTCATTTTGAAGCTCTTTTTCCCTCATTCTGAGTTCCCCCTTCTAACCTCGTTACTGTGTCTTCTCTCTTTTGTATGTTTTTATTTGTACTCTCTTAAATGCATATAGTCTCTTAGTGATGTGTTCCTTGTCTCTCTTCTTTATTAAAGAAGTCTGACATTGGTAGCTGTCCAGTAGAATCTGGATACAGGGTCTCACTAAGTTGCTTAGAGCCTTGCTAAATTGCTGAGGCTGACCCAAACTTCCAATCCTCCTTCCTCAGCTTTCTGAGTCACTGGGATCACAGGTATGCACCATGTGTTCAGCAGGATAGTCAGTCTTATGTGCCTTGGGCTTTCTTCTTCCATGGTTTTTCTCCATGTCTTCTTGATAATTGGAAAAATACTGTGGCCCTTTTCTGTTTCAGATCTTCCTGATTAGCTAGGAGTGGTGGTACAAGCCTGTAATTCCAGCAACTTGGGAAGTTGAGGCAAGAGGACCTCAAGTTTGAGGCCAGCCTTGGTAACTTAACAACTTAGGGAGAACCTATCTTAAAGAGAAAAATAAAAAGGGCTGGGATGTATCTCAGTAGTAAATCCTGGGTTCCATCCCCAATACCAAAACCAAACCAAAAACCAAAAATATCTTCCTGATCACCTCTATTAGGAAGGTGTGGAACGGTGAAAATATACCAAATTAGGGCTGGGGCTGTAACTCAGTGGTAGAGCACTTGCCTTACATGTATGAGGCACTGGGCTCAACCTTCAGCATCACATAAAAATAAATTAATAAATAAAGATATTGTGTCCAACTACAACTAAAAAAAAAAAAAAAAGAAATTTACAAAAATAAAGAAAGGAAGCCAGGCTCTATGGCAAATGCCTATAACCCCAGTGGTTCGAGAGGCAGAGGCAGGAGGATCATGAGTTCAAAGACAGCCTCAGCAATTTAGTGAGCAATTTAGTGAGGCACTAAGCAACTCAAGACCCTGTCTCTAATAAAATACAAAATAGGGCTAGGGATATGGCTCAGTGGTCAAGTGCCCCTGAGTTCAATCCCCAGTACCCCCACCCCCAAAAAAGAATGCCAAATTAGGAGTCAGAAGACCATTCTCTGTCACTTTATTTGCTTTTAGACTTTTAAAATTTTTATTTATTTATTTTTTATTTTTTGGTACTGGGGATTGAACTCAGTGGTGCTTTACCATTGAGCCTCATCCCCAGCCCTTTTTATTTTTTATTTTGAGACAAAGTCTCCCTGCGTTGCTTAAGACCTCCCTAAATTACTGAGGCTGGCCTTGAACTTGAGATTTTCCTGCCTCAGCCTCCAGACTCTGGGATTACAAGTGGGCGCCACTGTGCCCAGTAAATTTTTTTGTTTTGTTTTATGGTGCTAGGGATGGAACTTAGGGCCTTGCTCATGCTAGGCAAATGCTCTACCACTGAGTCACACTCCAGCATGTGAAATATGCTTTGAAAGATATGAACTTCTATATAAGCATGTCTGACCTCCTGAATTTTAATAGACATTTTGCCTTCCTGTGGCAGCTTACTGTTTCTTGCTCATAAGTTAGTGACAGATACTATAAACTTCTGAAAAGTAGAGACCATGATGTAAATCTTTTTCTTTCATAGGACTATGATTGTACATGTCATGTCAACAGATTCTGAGTAAAGACTGATGAAAGAAAGAATAACAATTCCATAACTCTCTTTGTAACTATTCTTGGTTTACTAAGTCCAAACACTTTTTACTGTGTCATACTTATCACCTACCCTCCTCTTTTTGATCTCCAATTTAGGTGATGTCTTTCCAGTGCAAATGAATCCAATAGTTCAGTCTCAGTTTGTACCATTGGCTGAAGTTCTTTGCTGTGCTATATCTGATATGAATGCTGCGCAGATCTTAGTAACACAGGAATCACTTTTGGAGCGTTTGAGGAAACATCATCCAGGTAAGGTGATGAACTTTTCTGAATTTGCATCTGTTAAGTTTCTATTTATAACTAATCATAAACACATAAGTAAACTAGGTGATATCCTTTTTTTCTTTTTCTATAGAATCTTATATGAAAACTCTGCTAGAAAAAGTCCTGCATCAACAAATTTGATAAGGGAATTTCTTTTACTTTCTAGATGCATTTTTTTAAAGTAAATGTTTTTGACAGTAAATAAATCAAACTCTAGAAAGGAGTCAACAAAAAAGTGCATCTCCCCCACCTTTCATTTTTTCCATTCCCATTCTCAGAGATGACAACTGCTTTGTTTATAGTTATTACATATGATTTTATAAATTGCACTTAAATAAATATATAACATTTTATAATATAAATGGGAACATTCTATACATTCTCCTTGTACCTTTAATTTTTTTCCTTTACAAAAATTGGAGTCATGAAGCTGGGGCCTGGTAGCACCCATCTGTAATCCCAGTGCCTTGGGAGGCAGAGGCAGGAGGATCTTGAGTTCAAAACCAGCCTCAGCTATTTAGCAAGGTGCTAAGCAACTCAGACCCTGTCTCTAAATAAAATATAAACCAGGGTTGGGGATGTGGCTCAGTGGTCGAGTGCCCTTAAGTTCAGTCCTCAGTACCAAAGGAAAAAAAAAAGTTAAAGACATGAGGCTATGATTTTTAAAAATTCCCATGTTTGCTCATCAAGAATGCCTTCCTGGACTGGGGCTGTGGCTCAGCAGTAGCGCACTTGCCTGGCATGTGTGAGGCACTGGATTCAATTCGCAGCACCACATATAAATAAATAAAATAAAGGTCTGTCAACAACTAAAAAAAAATAAAAATTAAAAATAAAAAAATAATGCTTTCCAGGGGCTTGGGTTGTGGCTCAGTGGTGGAGCACTTGCCTAGAAAGTGTGAGGCACTGGGTTCGATCCTCAGCACCACATAAAAATAAATAAGATAAAGGCACACTGTTCATATACAACTAAAAAATTTTTTTAAAAAAGAATGCTTTGGGGGGATATATGCTTTGGGGATATAGCTCAGTTGGTAGAGTGCTTGCCTCATATGCACAAAACCCTGGGTTCAATCCCCAGCACCACAAAAACAAAACCAAAAAAAAAAAAGATTGGGCTGGGGTTGTGGCTCAGTGGTAGAGAGCTCACCTAGCACGTGTAATGTACTGGATTCAATCCTCAGCCCCATATTAAAAAAAAAAAAAGGTATTGTGTCCACCTACAACTAAAATAAAAAATAAATATTTAAATATTTTTTAAAAAGAATGCTTTCCAAGCAGGTGCAGTGGCACACCCTTGTGGCTTGGGAGGCTGAGCCAGGAGGATCTTGAGTTCAAAGCCAGCCTCAGCAAAAGTGAGGTGCTAAGCAACTTAGTGAGACCCTGTCTCTAAATACAAAATAGGGTTGGAGATGTAGCTCAGTGGTCAAGTGCCCCTGAATTCAGTCTCTGGCACCCCTGTTGCCCCCCAAAAAATGGTTTCCTCAAATATTATTTTTTTAATGTGCTCAGCTCGAATCCAGGGCCTCATGTATCCAAGGCAAGCACTCTATCACTGAGCCACACTTCCAGCCCTCAAAAAGTTTAAATTTAAAATGGATTTGTATTTTGAGTAAATTCAGATGTTTTTCTCTATTCAATCATTAATGTATCTTTTCAGGGATCAAATTATATTGATGTTATTCAGTTAAATTATTAATGTCATTTTTGCTTCTTTGGCATTTTAATTGAATATATTAATTGTGTTATAATTAACCCTGAGTTCATCAAGCAAAGCAAATGTGAGGTCATTTTTTTTTTAATTGGTACTGTGGATTGGTACTCACTTTACCATTGAGCCACATCCCCAGCAATTTTTATTTCTGAGTTTGGGTCTCACTGAGTTGCTTAGGGCCTTTCTTAGCTGTTGAGGCTGGCCTTGAACTCGTGATCCATCTGCCTCAGCCTCTCCAGCCTTATAGGTATGCACTACCATGCCCAGCTGTATGATTATTTCTAAGTTGCTAATTTTACTCCTTATAATGTTTCTTGTTCAAAATCTGTAAAATGCTTGTTTGTTTTAGGGATTGCAATTCCATCTCAAGATGTTCTCTATACCACTCTGGGAACTCTGATTAAAGAAAGGAAGATTTATCACACTGGAGAAGGATATTTCATAGTTACTCCTGAGACTTACTTCATCACAAATGCAACAGCTCAGGAAAATAAGAGAGTCCTCCTATCAGATGAAAGTCACCTAGTGTCCACTTCTGTGACCTATCTGGTGAGCATGGAGAACGGTGCAGAGTCCACCAAAGAGAATGTTGTCCCTGTTTCCCATTGTCGGTCTTGCCAGTGTTTCCCTGACACATGCAGTCAGGGTGTTGAGGAACCACCAACTGCTGCAGATATGATTAGAAAAGACCAGAAAGGTCTTGGGGAATCCACGCCTTTTGTTCAGAATCAGACAATTTCAGCACCTGAAGAGAATCATATCCGTGAGAGCCCTAAACTTTTACCATACAAAGACAAAGAAAAAGGCAAGAAATTTGGCTTTAGTGTTTTGTGGCGCAGCATATCTAGAAAGGAAAAGCCCAAAACAGAGCATAGCAGTTTCTCTGCCCAGTTCCCACCTGAAGAATGGCCTGTCCGAGATGAGGATAACTTGGACAATATCCCACGAGACATAGAACATGAAATAATCAAGAGAATTAATCCCATTCTGACTGTTGACAACTTAATCAAACATACAGTCCTAATGCAAAAATGCGAAGAACAGAAAAAATATAATAGCCAGGGCACTTCCACTGACATGCTGACAGCCAGGCTTAAGTATCCTTCCAAAGAGGGAGTTAAGAAAAGGCCCAGTCAGTCTGTCAAAAAGACTCGCAGGCGGGGCCATTCTCATAGGCAGAGACACAAAGTCCGGAGTTGGGGGAGTGATCTTCAGCCAGGAAGTGTTAGACTGGAGAGGTACCCCAAGCTTCCTGCCACCCAGCCTGGCCCCAGAATTAAAAGCCCCAATGAAGTGAAAGTTCAGAAATCACTTGGTGAAAATCCAACAGTGCTAGTTTCCCACATGATTTACAAGAAGCGAATCAGTAATCCTTTCCAGGGCTTGTCTCTCCGAAGAAGCCCAATGACCAAAGGGTACAACACTCAAAAGAGCAATGGTCTAAAACCCCATCAGATTGGACCAAAGGAAAAGCCTTTCCAAAAGTCGAGGCTTTCAGATTCCTCAAGAATCTCTGATGGTGAAGCCCAACAGCCATATCCTGAACAATGTCATGATAAACTGAAAGCAGAATCCATTTATGTGACAAATTCTACTGTCCAATCTGTCAGTGATGACTTCAGAGCTGACCTCTTAAATTCCCTTCAATGTAGTGTTTTGCAAAATGACAGTCAATGCTACTCCTTTAGGGAAAGCATGTTGAGATATGATGCGCATGGTGGTGAAAATAAAGTAATCTCTGAAGTCTTGGGAAAAAGTCATTCACACTCTGACAAGTTAGGGGAGACCAAAGAAACATGGCATATCCTGCCATCACGAGGTTCCTCCTCAGCAGGACCAACATCCTCTGCTAGTAGATTAGTTGATAAAACAATACACCAGTTTCAAAACCTTGGCCTCTTGGATTACTCATTTGGTCCAAACTATTTGAGACAATCTGAGACACAAGATAGAGATTCAGAATATCTAATGAGAAAGGCATTTGTCCAGGAGGCAAAGACTGCAAATCTAGAAAATGAAGGGCTTTTTGATGATGACCAGGACTTGTATCAGGACGAAGTGGAGGATCATGATGGGGCTTGCAGTTCATTATATCTAGAGGAGGATGACTTTCCTGAGAATGATGGCTTGTGTCAAATGCTACCTGGCCGCACTCAATATTCCTTTTTAGATAGAAGCAAGTGGAATCAGTTGGAAAGACGACAAGTGACTGAGAGATCGCTGACTGAGCGTAACAGCAAAATGGATAGGTTTGAGCTTCAGGCACATAGAAGAAATGAATGGTATAAGCCTACTGGGTTGCTTATAAACCCAGATGAAAGACAAAACCAGAATCTCTCTGCTGAAATCCATACCCAGTTTGATTTCAACAATGAAGAAGAACCCAGTGTTACTAAATATGAACAGGCCTCACCACCACCTGCAGCTGGAAGTTTATTTGATTACTATAGTACAAGGAAACCCAATATTGAGGCTGAAATCCTACAAGACTCTGTTGGTGACACAGTAAAGAAATCAGTGAGCCAGAGTCCTCAGAATCAGGAAATGGGAAAACATTTCCCACAAAAGTTAGAACTTTTCGATGCTTCACATATACCAGTATTGGCTCAGGATATCCAGCATGAACACCGTCTCTTGGAAGGAACAGAAAACCATAGCATGGCCGGAGATAGTGGAATAGATTCTCCACGGTAAGCACATGTGAAAGTGTTTGATTAGCTACTATGCCACAGGGTTATTAAAATCAAGGGCATAGTGAATTGCTTGGTGAGAGACTCCTGATATAAGTCCACCAGCCTTAGTGAATAAATTGTTTAATGTCACAGTGGGATCTCATAGAATAAGATAGAGTTCTTTTTTTTTTTTTTTTCTTTTTAGTACTGGGAATTGAACCAGGCATGCTCTACACTGAGCTACACCCCAAGCCATTCTAGAGACAGAGTCTCACTAAGTTGACAAAGCTGTCCTTGAGCTTGTGATCCTTCTGCATCGGCCTCCCAACTCACTAGGATTACAGGCATGTACTGCTGCACCTGACAGGATAGAGTTCATTTTTAATTTGAACCAATATTTTTTTTGGTGGGGTGGTGGTACTGGAGATTGATCCAGAGGCACTTTACTGCTTGAGCTATTTCCTCCGTCATGTTTATTCATTCATTCATTTTTGAGACAGTATCCCTTTAAGTTGCTAAGCATCTTTCTAAGTTGCTGAGATTGGCCTCAAACTTGGGATCCTCCTGCCTCAGTTTTCCAAGTACCTGGGATTATAGATGTGTGTCACTGCACCTGGCTGGAGGGTACATTTTTGACATATGTATCTTACATTTTTGTTTAATTTTTGTGTTATTGGGGAACCCAGAGGGGCTCTACCGCTGAGCCCTTTTTATTTATTTTTCATTTTGAGATACATTCTGCTAAATTGAGATACATTCTGCTAAATTGCCGAGGCTGGCCTTGAACTTATGATCCTCCTGCCTCAGCCTCCCCAAGTAGCTGGGATTACAGATGTGCACCACTACATCCAGCTGTATCTTTTTTCTTTTTTTTTTTCTATCTCTCTCTCTCTTCGAGTTGTAGATGGATACAATACCTTTATTTATTTTTATGTGATGCTGAGGTTTGATCCCAGTGCCTCACACTTGCTAGGCAAGCGCTTTACCACTGAGTGCAACCCCAGGCCCCCAGGCCCCCTGCTACTGCTTGAGCCACATCCCCAGCCCATGCATCTTAATATCTCTAGATGGAGAGGAGCAATTTGGGAAAGGGGGAATGTTAAAAGCAAAGATAACAGTGGGACTGGGGGTGTGGCTCAGTGGTAGAGGGAGTGCTTACTGTACAAAGAGGCCCTGAATTTGATCCCCAACACTAAAAAAATGAAACAAAAACAAAAATGGTAATGTGACATAGCTGAAGCAAGGCATATGTGTTAGATAAGGAATATAACTTACAGATCCTAGGAAAACAATTTTGTCAATATGAAAAATATAATGATTGGCTTTTTCCTTTTATGACTTCTCAAAAAGAAGTCAGGGATGTGGAGATATTGGCCACTTTAGATGTATAGAAGAGTTTTTCAGGGAACTTATTGTTTCTGACTAGCATATACTTGATATTAGATTGATAATGGATCTGAGATCAGATGTATAGAAAATGTGAACTTCTTTGAAAGCAGTATAACTGAGGTGCTACCATGAAGCCTTTAAAATATAAAGAATACTGTTTTTTTAAATTTATTTTTTAGTTGTAGTTGGACACAATACCTTTATTTTATTTATTTATTGTTTTACGTGGTGCTGATGATCGAACCCAGGGCCCCAAATATGTGCTAGGGGAATTCTGAGCCACTACCCCAGCCCAAGAATACTAAGTTTTTAGTTCTGTTTGTTTTTGGTGGTGGTGCTGGGGATTGAACCCAGGAAAACTTGTGAATGCTAGGCAAGCACTCTACCAACTGAGCTATATCCCCAGCCACCAAGAATACTAAGTTTTTAAAGGTTAACTTATTTGGTAAGTGTACTTTAATGTTAATGTACTGCTTCAATATAACAAATGAAAATATAATGCCTTCATTACAATTCCAGGTCCCTTTTGAAGGAAATAAAATTGTGTTATTTCTAATACGTCTAGGACACAGAGCCTGGCATCTAATAATTCAGTCATTTTGAATGGACTTAAGAGAAGACAGAATTATCTGCAGAACGTTGAAAGCACAAAGAGAAGTCAAGCACTCACATCCAGTTCCTTACTACAACTAACTCCAGTCATAAATGTTTAATTTTCTTTTGGAGAAAATTTTTTGTAAAAATGTACAGAAGGATTCTATAGAATCAATCAATCAAATGAATATGTAAAATTCCTCTAAAACCAAGCATATGTACTATTAACCTCATAATTATATATTTTGTCCAATATTTCTAATTTTCTAATTTTTTTTTCCTTTTTTGATATTGTAAAGCAGATTTTAGCAGATTAGGAATTTCTGGGGAATATTTAGATTGCAATAAAAAACATGGAGTCATTGATCCTTTTCCGATTAAATGTCATTAATTTTCGTTCATTGGTTTCTCAAATACTTAGGATGCTAATTTACTATGTAGTGACTTTTTTTTTTCTTTTCAGTACTCGGGATTGTACCCAGGAGCTGCTCTACCACTGTGTTACATTCCCAGCCCTTTTTGTTTTCATTTTGAGACTGGGTCACACTAAATTGGCTGGCCTTGAACTTTGGATCCTCCTGCCTCAGCCTTCCGAGTAGCTGGCATTATAGGAGTACACCGCCATGCCTAGCTAGAGGGTGTTTTTTCTAAAAGTTTTTTAATAATCGCCAAAGCTTAGATCTTAAAAGTGATTGAATAACTGGAGAGTTCTGATTCTTACCATCCTGAAGGTCCGAGTAAAGCTCAGCATTGTTGGGAGCTACATTCAGGTTCTGTGGAAGTGCAGAAGAGGGAGGTCAGATTTACTGTTCTGTTTAGCATTGGTCAGACCATTCCCTCCTGACTGCTGGTTTTCAGTGGGCCTGGCCAACCTACCATGCATTCTAAAATTAGCCATGGTCACAGGGACCTGCTCAAAGTTCTTGTACCAATAGGGGTAACCTGGCATAAGGACTTGTGGGGGAGGTAAAAGCAGAGGCTTTTTTTTTTTTTTTGCATTACTAGAGATGGAACCCTGTTGTTGTTTTGGTACTGGGAATTGAACCCAGCTTTACCATCCCTGTTTTTTTTTTTTTTTTTTTTTTGGAGATAACTTCTTGCTGAATTGCTTAGGGTCTAGCTAAATTGCTGAGGATGGCTTTAAATTTGCAATCCTCCTTCCTCAATTGGGATTATAGGCATGCACCACCTCACCTGCTGTATTAGGGAGTCTTACAACATGGTATCAGCACCAGTGAATGGAAGTTAGAGAAATAATTCAACTTGGTATGAGAACTTAACTATTAAACAAAACTATTTGAAGATGAAGTAGGTAGCTTTGTAAAATAATAAATTTTCTGTTACTTAGGGGATTCAGCCAGAGGCTTGGTGATCCCTTTGCCTGCTACATTGCAGGTTTTCACAATTTAGCTTAACATAATGGCTAACCTAGGTAGCTGAGGAGTCTTTCCATATCTAAGGTTTTATGCTTATGAAATTTGGTATCTTATGAAATATTGAACTCATACAAAATTCCTGAGTATTGCTTCCAGTTCTCCATTTTTGCATCTATCATTGCCAATTATTGGAAAAGAAGGTTTTATCTTTGAATCTTAGATTAAGACAAGTATCTTATAGAGTGAGGAATCCAAAAGGAATTCTTTTGTGACTCTAGGAACTAATGATACCCATCTGATTCTGCCACTGTTACATTATGAAGCTCTAATTAGATGTATTAAGTGAAAATGATTGTGAAACAATAAACTTCCCTCCATAACATTCAGAATCTCAAATATTAAAGAAAGATGGGAATATGACCTATTAAGTTGTTTTGGAGATTAATCTTTAAATCAGGTGCATTTTTTCTGAATAACATGTATGTGTCTGAACTTTTAGTTCTTCATTTTTATTCCCTGTTGCAGTCTATTCTCTAATGAGAAAACTGTTTTCTACAGGCCGCTTGATTATTTGAGCTTAGGAGGAGTTAAGACCCAAATTTGAATCCCAATTCCAGTTTTAGTACATTGATGAAGCAAGTTACCAACTTTCCCTGATTCAGTTTTCTCATCAACAAAAGGGAGAATAGAAATGATATCTGCCCGGCAGGGTGATTGTGAGGTTTGGGGATAGCTATCCTATCAAAAGTTTCTAATGTAAGAGGTGTCTATTATTATTAAATGCGTGTGGTTGTGTGTATGTATGTGTATGTGTGTGTGTATGTATATACACACTTTTTTTTTTTTTAAAGCAAGCTCTGGCAAGCTTTTGGTTGTTGTTATATGTTTTTGGCAAAATTTTGTTTTTGTTTTTGGTACTGAGGGTTGAATCCAGGGGTGCTTCACCACTGATCCACATCCCCAGCCCTTTTTATTTTTTATTTTAACATAGGGTCTCGCTAAGTTGCTGAGGCTGGCTTTGAACTTGTGATTCTTCTGCCTCAGCCTCCTAAGTCACTGGGATTACAGGCATACCCCACTTCACCTGGCTGCAAGTTTTATTAAAGAAAAATTTTTACATGGCTTTATCTTCACCAGTCTGTTCTGGCAGATTTTTAATGATGTCCACCTGGTTTGAGGATAGCCAATGTGCATATTCTAGTACTTTTTGCATGCTGTGCCCAATTCATTATTATTGCCACTGTAGTGGTGGACACCAGTTTTGACTAACATGGCACAGTACTTTATTTCAGATTTTCTCAAAGCTGGGCAGTTGGTAAGGATGATCAATTTTGCTTTGCACTGTCTGAGTCTAGTCTGCTTGTACCCCAGAGCATACTTTCCACTTTTCATAACAAGCTGGAACCTAGAATTCATCAAATCCAGGGACTTTTTCATCTTCTTTGTGGCCACCATCTTCCTGCCTTAGGTGTGGGATAGCTCCCAACCAAGAACAGCCACCAAGATAGTCTGGGAATGAGAAGGGAAGCTACGTCTTTATTTTTAAATGTATTTATGTAGTCATAAAACTTGCCTGAGATGTAAATATATGACTTACTATACAGGTTTCCTGTTTTGTCAGGTTGTCTAGATCCTGTTATGGATTTAAGATTATAGAAAGTATCCTCCATCAAAATTGAGGTTATGTATGGGAGAAGTATTATGTCTTTAACAAGTTTCCAGTTAATACTTTATTCTATAAATAGGAACACAGTATGCAAAGTATGGGCTTATTTTATATATTCATATAATGTAAGCTACCTTTAATTCATCCTCTCTCATCTGGGATCTCAGACTTTAAGAAAACTCAGATAATAAGTTTATTTTTTCTGCAAGCTATTTTTAATATATTTCCTTTGCCTAACTCCTTGTCAACTAAAACACTTTAATTTCTTAGCTAGTGAAATTACACCAGCTCAGCAATGTGGCATTATCCCTTCTGTGTATCTTATTCATAGATTAGAAAAATGACCATAATTCAATTACGACTAAATGCAATTTAGCAGAATAACTATTTTAAAATATCAGATCTATAAGGAAAAACAATGGAAAGACCTTGTAAGAAGTGAAAGATTGCTGAAAACCTATCTACAGGTGTGTGATAAGTCTTTAAGAAATGGGAAAAGACAGACTATTGCCTAACAGGGATTAGAAAAAGAGATATAAAACAAATGAGGGAAGCCAGATTTGGTGGTACATGCCTGTAATGCCAGCTACTCAGAGGCCTCTAAGTCAGGATGATAAGTACAAGGCCAGCCTGAGCAATTTAGTGAGAACTCGTCTTAAAATTTTAAAAAAGGGCTGGAGATAACCCCTGGAATCAATCCGCAGTACTGGAAAAAAAAAAAGAATGAGTATCCAACTCAGGACTACTTTGCTAGACTTGTTTATCTTCCTGCTTTTGAAACACTGGAATTTTCCCTCTAGCAGAAGCAGCTTCCAAATATTTCTTGGGTAATGGTGCCCCCTTCTGGGATAACTGATGTGACTCTGAAACCCTTTGTATAGCTTGATTCAGAATATCTACTAAGTAATTGATTTAAGAAACATAACTCCCTCCAAAGGTTAAATATTTTAAAACTATAATGATTTGAATTAGGAGTTAAATTCATACATAAATATACATGTTCTAAATTGCTCAAAGAGGCCTCCTTTCCAATGCTTCAAAACCTTAAGCTAGAGTACTTTTTTACTTCATTTCTGTAGTACTGTTTGTATTAGCAAATCCTCCCAATTTCTTGCACTGTCAGAATTACTGTTCTCACTTTATTAACACGTTTTTAAAGTTGAGTTGGCTAAGATTACATGGCTTGCAATGGGAGAGATATTCTCTTCCCTTACTTTCTTTGTGCTTCTCCTTAGAACCATCTGCATTCTCTATCCCCAAAGTCTTTTTTTTTTTTTTTTTTTTAAATAAATGCCTTTTATTTTTATTTATTTATTCTTAGAGAGAGAGAGTTATTTATTTATTTTAGTTTTCAGTGGACACATCTTTGTTTGTATGTGGTGCTGAGGATCGAACTCCGGGCCTCAGGCATGCCAGGCGAGCACGCTACCACTTGAGCCACATCCCCAGCCCCTCCCCAAAGTCTCTTATCAATTTATAATTACTCCTTAAACTATTTCTTGTCTTAATATTTTAAAATGATGGTTTAGATTCCTGTTGAAACAAAAGTTCTACATGCAGATGTAAAATGTTGTACTCAATGTCTTTTTTTTTTTAATTCAACTTTCTAACTGTAGAATAAAAATTAAAATCTAGCCCTGTTTGTTTTGTGATGCTGGATATCTAACCATGGGCCTTGAGCATGCTAGGCAAGACTTCTACCACTGAGGTACATCCCCAACCCTAGCCCTCTAGTTTTAAAAATAACCACAGAGAAGAATTAAGTTTAGAATTAGTCATCTTGTTTTAGATCTTAAAGGCCACAGAGTATAATAAGCTAAGGCCAAAGGCATGGAAAAATCTTTACAGAATTTTGGACAGAGAGTAGCAGATAAAACACTGAAACTCTTAAAATTTTGCAAAAGAGATTATTTCAGTGACTCTTAAGATATATGGAAAATACGTTCTAATAAGATTGTATTTTGGAGCCAGGCACTGTTGAGCGTATCGGCAGATCTAGCTACCAGGAAGGCTGAGTCAGGGATGCTTGAGCCCAGGAGTTTGTGATGATATTTTGGATTATTGTGAATTTTAAGTATTCACCCATAGTATGCCTCCCCTTGTTTCCAGATCTCCTCATCAGAAATAAGTTTTTGAGGCTTTTTTTTTTAAATGGAAAAATAATTCCCCACTTCTGTTTTCTAGTTGATTGATGCAAGATGATATCCACTCATAACTTATACATGTCACCCAAATATTTTACAGCTGAGCCACTCCTTGGTCATGCATAGCTTTCTTTACACTGATCCTTTCCACCTGGCACAAATTAGGTAGAGAAAATTTAGGGATTAAAAAGGGCTTGTAGAGTATTGTGGCAGAAGGTCATTCTGGAACATACTATTAGTTGCTTGAACAGGGAGAACAGAAAAGGCTAGTACTTTTTTTCAGACCTGCTGTTATGAGCTCTGACATACAAATGAGTGCCTAGAGTCCTGAGGAGTTAAAACTTTATTTCATTCACGTGTGATCTTCGACCACAGATATTAACATTTGTTCCTTTTATCCCAATCTATGTGGCATTCTACATCTACTTCATGTTTCTATGCACATCATACCCCTTTGTAGGGCTACAAAAACTACCACAGTAGGATTGGCAGTGGGTGTGAGGGATTGGGACAAAAGAATGTAGAAAAGCACAGAAATGCATAACTGATCTCATAACCTAGGGAGACGAAGATGCATTTTCCACCAACATTAACTGAATACTCCCTGTGTTCATAGTATTGAATCCATAAGGTTACATTTAAACATGTTAGCCCTTGACTTCAGGCCAACCCATAATTGCACAAAAGGCCTAAAGCAATCACTAATTTGAAGTTCCAGTTGTTACTCAGGACCAACCCTAAATTCCACATATAACTTTGCTAAGGCTCAAGTTTCATGCTCCTGTTAAAAGGCTTGTGTGTTAAAAGATACTGTCAAGTGTTTTATGAGACGGCCTTGCACCGACATCAGTTTGGTTTCTTGTTCTCCATCCAGGAGTACAGTTGTCTGGTTGAAGACATCATAAAGAGACATGGTTCTGAGAAGAAAGCCAGGAGCTAACATTAATGATATCAGAAAAGGTGACATGCTAAGACAGTTATCTTTTCTATTGATAAAAATTTTCAGTTGTATAAGATTGTGTTAAAGGATAGTTAATTCCCATCAGTAAAATAGTTTTACATTGGAAATACATAGTCTTTTGTCAATGACATTTAGGCTTGTTAACTTTAGCAGAAACTGTTAGGTTTAATTAAGAGCTTTCAGGTTGATGTGGCAGATCTTGGATTCAAGAAATAAATTCTCTAGTCCTGACTGTGCCACGGATTGTGTGACTTCAGATATGTATTCAGCTATGGGTTTAGTTTCCTCTCAAGTCAAATGGGAAGCGTCAGAAGCACTAACATAAAGCAAGAACTAATTTGTTGACTACAACCTGAGACTGCAGGCACGGACGTTCATCCAGCCTCCCTTTCTCCTGTGGCCCACGCCAGACCCTAGGAAGCCCCTTGACACTAACGCCTGGCTTCAGCCCTCGCGTGAAGCCGTTGGACGTTAACGCCTCCCGCCTCAGTGGGCGGGGGGAAGGCAGCTGCTTCCGGCGGTGAATGGTGAGGCGGCGCTTGGCGCTCGTCACCCACCTCTGCACAGTCGTGACCATGCGCCAGCCACCTGTGCGCTTCGGCCCCTCTCCATCGCCGTTGAGGAGCGACCTAGCCCCAGTGGTGCATGCTGGGAAGCTCCGAAGAGCCTCTGTGGTGCCATGGACTGTTCCGAGTGGGGGAGGGGGTGAGAAACAGAATCATTTATGCTAATCAGTGAGCTCATCCTTTATGGACATTGGGTAGGTTTTTACTCTAGAAGCCAATCACTTCACAATAGGGTGGGCCAGTGGAGATTTCTCACACTCATTGGGTGAGAGCTTGGAGCGGATAGAAGAGTTTAAACTATCCGGGATGATTTCCTCCCCCGCCGTGCGGTGCGTGTCCCGGAAGTGACGCACGGCCGTGGCCGGGCGGCCGCCCTACCCCCGCTTCCTTTCACGCTGTTGCTGCCCGTAGGTGGTAGTGGCCACTGTGCCCCGAGAGAGGTGGCGGCGGCCAGTAATGCCGGGGAAACTCCTCTGGGGGGATATTATGGAGTTGGAAGCACCCTTGGAAGAATCCGAGAGCCAGAGGAAGGAAAAGCAAAAGGTGCGCTGAGGATGGGCCGCGCCTCCTTATGGGCTGCGCCGGTTTGGGTGGGGAGGGGAATTGTCCCTGACCATGGCCTGTCAGGACCCAGTCCCAGCATCCGAGGGCCTCCGCTCAATCCGCGTAGGCCTTCTGAGGTCGCTCTGGGATCATTCCCAGGTCACACTCCCTACTTGGAGGAGGACGGCCCTGGGCTTTGGCCCGGCCTCCAGTGGCTCTTCAGCTCTTCCCACTGGCGTCTGAATTCTCCCAAGAGATGGGTAGACTCAAGCTCCCGTCACCGCAGAATCTCTTTTCTTCCTAAAGCAGGGAAGCCTGTCATTTGGTTCTTCTGGACTGTCTTAGAAGATGATTAAGAAAAAATGATTGTCTTGAATATGTTCTGCCTCTTTGTCACCCTGTTCTGTTGTGCAAGAATTTTGGGGAAAGTGATCTTAGGTTTAACTAGTTTATAGAGGATTTGAGAAATATTGTAACATCCAGAGTTTCTAGGATTGGGCTGTGGTGGAGATCGTGTTGGTTTTATTATTAATAACCCTTACTATGAGTATTTTCATTCAATCCACAGGTATCTATTGAGCCTAATTTGCACCAGACTCTGCTGAGTACCATGGAGTTTAAACTAATTAAGTATGAGAAATGGTTTTTCCCCTTGGGTTATAAGAGACCCCCCTTCCCATCCGAAAAAGAAAACTCTTGAAACAATAGAGGATTGCAAGGTGCTGAAAAATGCACAGGTACTGGAGACGTTTAACCTGGAGAAAGCAAAGCTGAGGAGGATAAGGTAGCAGTTTTCAAAGTCTAACGTTGGATGAAGTAAGGTTTATTCCATATAGTTCAGGAAAGCAGAAATACCTCTCCAACTTGTCGTTAAGGTCAACTTGCCATTCCAAGCAACCAGTTTTTCTTTTATTCTGGGGAAATATACAAAACTGAAAATTTACATTTTAGCCATTTTTCAGTGTAGTTCTAGTGGCATTAAATACCCTTATATTGTTTTTCAGCCATCACCACCATCCATCTCCACAACTTTTTTCATCTTCTCAAACTGAGGCTCTGTCCTTTAAACACTAACTCCTCATTCTTTTCTCTTCCCAGCTCTAGCAACCATTATTCTACTTTCTGTGTCTATGAATTGACTGCTATAGGTACCTAGAATCCACTAAAATGGAATCCCCAGTTATTTTAATTTTGGCTCCTGTTGAAACTTCTTTTCCCTTTTGCATCCAGATGCTCTGTTGAAGTTTAATTTATATCTTTTCTAACCACCCCAGTAATTTCATTTCCTTTTGAATTCTTGTTCCAATACTGTCTTTATCATGCAAGAGGCATTTATTGTACACTTCCTTGTGAAATTCATTTTTCCTCTCTGTATCTTTTTAAAATATTTCCCAAAGATTCTTGAGGAAAATAGCCATATTTTTGTCTAATATTTAATTATATTCTTGTATGTTGGTGACTTTCACATTGTAAGTTCTCCAGAAATACTTGTTAATTGCACTTTATGAAGATAAACTAGAGATTTGAAAATGAATTGGAATACCAACTAATAGAGCATTAGGCTAGTTTTGGTGTTGAGATGAAGATAACCTTGGTTTGGATTACATTGAGATATGAAGATGAGTTATAGGTTCTTAAAACTGGAATGCAGGCAAGGAAGAGTAAGGAAGTGTGTGTTGAAAGTCATGAAAATGGCATAGAAGTGTACATGGACAACAGAGATTTAAGGTGTATCCATAGAAGTAGGAGAAGAACCAGAAGATGTGACAAAAGTAAGAGAATAAGAAGGGCATACATCATATCAACTCACAAGGGTGAGGCAGGAGGATCACAAGTTCAAAACCAGCCTCAACAACTTAGGGCTGGGGATGTGGCTCAGTGATTAAGTGTCCCTGGGTTCAATCCCAGGTATCCCCCCCCCAAAAAAAAAAAAAATCCCTATAGAATATAATGGAAACCAAGGGAATCAAAATTATCATAGAGTTTCGGTCCAATATGAAATAATGTATTCACCTTGGGATGTTGCTGGGTTTAGACTTAGAGGTCTCACTTTGCCTTGTTCCATCATCTCCCTGCAATGAAGGGTCCAGGAGCAATTCAAACTCCAGAGCTGACTCTATAAATAATTTTGTTTTTCAGTAGAACTTAACGATATGGTGAGATGTGAGTTACTGCAATTAACCAAAGAGCAAATGATGTAACTGCAAAGCATTTTCACATTTTTATGGATAAGAAAAATTGTATGGTAAAGCACTCTAAAAATTGTATAAGTTTTTCGTGCTGGTGTTTTTGTTGTCACTCATCTCTACCATCTAATTTATTTTGAATATCTGACCAAGTAATTCTGGAGAAGTCCTAAATTTCTAAATCATTTCTTGTGGTCTGCAAATATTAAAACACTTGCCACCAGTTTGACTTTTTGAAAAAAAATTTTTTTTAGTTGTTGATGGACCTTTGTTTTATTTATTTATTTATATGTGGTGCTAAGAATCAAACCCGTTGCCTTAACATGGTAGGCGAGCACTCTACCACTGATCTGCAACCCCAGCCCCACCATTTTGGCATTTTAAAACTGAAGGTGCAAGCTGGGCATGGTGGCACATGCCTATCATTCTAGTGGCTCTGCAGGCTGAGGCAGGAGGATTGCAAGTTCAGTCAGCAATTTACCAAGACTCTGTCTCAAAAAAATTAAAAGGACTGGGGATGTCGCTAACTGTTGAGCTCCCCTGGATTCAATTCCCGGTACACAAAAACATATAAACAAAAAATTGAAGGTGCAGAATTGTGCCTTTTCGTTTTGTTCTTTTCTTACATTCTGTTATCTAGATTTTTTTTTTAAACTTCCTGGGTTATTGTTCTTCCATGGAAATATAGCAATTGGAATTTTATATCAACATGAAGCTTTGTTTTTCTTTGACCTGTTAATTATTAAAGTTAGGAAGGAAGCATGATGTGAAAAGAGCATAGGTTTTCCAAGTCAGGGCTAGATTCAATTTCTAGCACTTCCACCTACAGGAAATCCCACATGTGGATCTTTGGCAAGTACTTAACCTCTAAGACTTCTGTTTCCTCATCTGTAAAATGACAAAGGTAATACAGGTTCACTATCCCTTATCCTAAATCCCTGGAACTAGATGTGTCTTAGAATTCAGAATTCTAGGGATCTATAGAAGGAGAACACCCCAGCAGGGTGTGGGGCCTGTAGCATGTAATCAGACACCTTAATATTAAATATGAATAATTGCAAATGATGGGATAAATAAAAACTATAAATAGTCTCACATTAGTTCTATTCAAATATTGCCATCAAATGAGTTCAGAGCAGGTAAGGTTTTGACTCCAAATAAGTTACAAAAACACTTTCGGTTTTCAGAGCTTTATGGATATCGGAATTTCGGATAAGGGATTATGGATCTGTACTTCCCTCATAGGGTTGTTATGAAGATTTAAACAAGATAAGCCGAAAACACATTACACAGTGCTGGGTAGGTACTCAATAAATATTAATTTTTTTGCTCTTAGAGATGTTAGAAGTTTTTTTTGTATTTTAATTTATAATTTTGAGATTGTCATTTGGTTCTGAAGGAGCTATTTTAATTTTGCTAAAATTTTATGTTGTGATTAGAGATGGAATAGAGGCTGAATTCTTGAGAATGCAGGAGTTGGAATGACAATTATAGTTATAGGTAAGTCTTAGAGCTTGAATTACTAAACAGTCTGGATTTCTATCATGTAGGTTTTCAGTATAACTATTGGCTGAACTTAAGTGGTTGGGAAGTCATGCTGTAACTTCTCTAGAATCCTAAGAGGACACCTGTGACCTTTTTGTCATTGTTTCTTGGTCTACAGAGTGATAGGAGGAAGTCCAGGCACCATCATGACTCAGAAGAGAAAACAGAAACAAGAGAAAATGGTGTCACAGATGACCTGGATGATGCTCCCAAGCCCAAAAAAGCTAAAATGAAAGAGAAGTTAAATGGAGACACTGAAGAAGGATTTAATAGACTTTCAGATGAATTTTCTACATCTCATAAGTCAAGGAGGAAAGATCTACCAAATGGAGATATTGATGAATATGAAAAAAAATCAAAGCGAGTATCATCCTTAGAAAGTTCTACTCATAAATCAAGTGATAATAAACTAGAGGAGGTATGGATACTTTTAATTTTGCATTTGACATTATCCTTGAAATACAGACAAATGTGATGTTGTAAATTAAGAAGAATTGATTCTATGTTTCTTGCTTAGTACAGACTCTAATCCAAATGAGAGATCTATACAGCTGAAATCTGAACCTTTTTTCCTTTGGCCCTTGTTTCTTTTATTGTATTGTCATTTTTTGTGGGTGGAAGTAGAGGAATGCTCAAACTTACACTTTTTCTGTACATTTGGGTTCCTAAACAGTTTTTCCAAATTATTGATAGTCACGTACTTATTTCTTATGGTTCTTTCAGTCCCTGCCAGTACTGGGGCATTGACTTGACTTCCTGAAACAAGGTACAGAAGGCCTTTTGACTTTGTGTATTTTGCCTTCTTTTTTCTGCTTTTGAAACAGTAGCAACTTTAGATGATCTTTATGTCTTACTGTAACTTTCTGTTAAAGTCATTTGCATTTTTAAAACTAGAATTAAACATGAAAATGATCTGAAGAAATCTGTTCTTCTGGCTATTACATTTTGAGGAAGTGTAATAAACATGCTTAAGTATAGAATTTGCATTCTTGAACCTCCTGCTCTTATCAGTACCTGTTAAAGCAGTTATTTTCTTGGGCAGAATTTGTTAAAAAGTGTCTCACAGTTTTCCACTAGGAGTTCAAAAGCTGATCTAGGTGTTATAAATTGTCAAGAAATTATTTAGGTCTTCAGAAAGAAACAATGTTGATATTCTTGCTTTTTGATAATAATTTTTAAATTTGATAATAGCCGGTAATTTAATTTAAATAATAATTTTTTAAAAATCCCTGTTGTGGAGATCAAATGCAGGGGTATGCACTGAGCTTAACTTAACCTAGAATCCTCAGGTATTTTGGGAAAAAGATGTTGACTCCTTGTTTTTACTATATGGTGGGGTTTTTTTTTTTTTAATATTTATTTTTTAGTTGTAGTTGGACATAATACCTTTATTTTAATTTACTTATTTTTATGTGGTGCTGAAGATCGAACCCAGGGCCTCACACTTGCGAGGCGAGCGCTCTGCCGCTCAGCCCCAGCCCCAGCCCCTATATGGTGTTTTATTTTGTGTATTTGCTATTTGTCCAGAAGCATGTATGTTAATTTAGTAAGGCTCTATTAAATCTATATTGGCAGTAGTGGAATGAACAGATTGCTTTTTGTTGTATTGGGGTTTTTGTTTCTTTGTTTGTTTTAGTTGCAGATGGACACAATACCTTTATTTCATTTATTTTTATATAGTGCTGAGGATAAAACCCAGTGCCTCACATGTGCTAGGCAAGCGCTCTACTATTGAGCTACAACCATAGCCCTATTTTTTTTTTTTGGGTATGGGGCATTGAACCCAGGAGCACTTAATCACTGAGCCACATCCCCAGCCCTTTGTATTTTTTATTTTGAGGCAGAGTATTGCTATGTTGCATAGATCCCTGCTAAATTGGTGAGGGTGGCTTTGAACTTGCAATCTTCATGCCTTAGCCTCCTGAGTTGCTGGAATTACAGGTGTGCACCACTGTTTCTGGCTCTATTGGGGTTTTGCTTGAAATCATTCTCTGTATTATAATAGGCTTAATTGTCTATTGTTTCTGTTTTAGATCATAGATTTCAGGAGTTCTGCTTTTAGGAATTTATCCTAAGGAGGTAATTATGAGGTGTCCATAGCTGTATGAATAAGTACTCTTATCACCGGGATATTATAGATATTGGGGAAAGTTTTAAATATTCTAAATGTCTAGTAGTGTCTGGTAGTAGGCAATTGGTTTAATAAAATATGCTATGTTTACAGAATAGAATGCAGCTATCCCAAAAGGTATATAAGAATTTTAGAAAGATAGTTCTTTTTGTTGAAAAGATAAAAAGCAGATTTTAAAACACTGTATAAAGTATGATCTTTTATTTTTAAAACTTAGTGTGCATAGACTGAAGATTGGAGTGTGTTTTAAATGTAGTTTTAACTGACTGGATTATCGGTAATTTAAAAATGTATGTGCTTTTCTGAAATTTCTAAAATGAAAATACATAACTTTTAAAATTTTTCTTTTAATCTTAAAAGAGAACAGTATTGTTGTTTATGTAAATGGCCCACAATTTGAATTTGATATTGTCTTTTATCTGGTTCTTAATTTGAAAACTGCTATTGTGAGTGGTTCTGTAACTACTTTCTTTAAACATAAAAATTATCAAGTTTACTGGGTCTTTGTTCTGTATACACATTGGTACACAGAGTTTTTGATAGATGTTAAATGATAATGTTTTGCTCATCTATATTCATGTTAAAGAAATTCTTAAGCTTATAGAACTTTTCCGTGAATTAATGACCTATGGGGAAAAGTCCTTTTTTTTTCAAGTTGTAGTTGGACACAGTATCTTTATTTTATTTATTTATTTTTATGTGGTGCTGAGGATTGAACCCAGAGCCTCACAGGTGCTAAGTGAGCACTCTACCACTGAGCCGCAACCCCAGCTCGGAAAAAGTACTTTTTAAAGCCATAGAACAAATTAACTATTTTTGGAAAAAGTTTTAATTTCTCATTGTGTAATTTCTTCTTTTATCTTAGTATATAGACTTGTATTAATTTTCATAGTTAATATTATCTATAAGTATGATTTAGATTATTAAGTAACTTGTAATATGTTATCAAATGGAAAAATATTTTGATTTATGTAGTAGACATTTCTAAAGGGAACTTTATGGGTTGAATTAAACATTTTAAGATGTTTTACTAGGAAAATGGATTAAGTAAGCTTGCCATCTAAAGGGATACTTTTGAAATGAAAAGAATCTACTATTTTTTTTTTTAATGACTTTATTTATTTTATGTGGTGCTGAGAATTGAACCAAGTGCCTCACAACATGCTAGGCAAACACTTTACCACTGAGCTACAGCCACAGCCTCCCCTCCTAATTTTTAAGTTAATCTGTATAGGTTTTTGCAAGTACTAACTGAAGTTGATTAGGTAGCTTGTTTAGTAAAATGGTAAATAAGTAAAAGTTGAACAAAAACTATATTATTTAAAAAAAACTATATTATTTAGAACTTTTATTTCCTTTTGACAGACACTAACACGAGAACAGAAAGAAGGAGCCTTCTCCAATTTCTCTATTTCCGAAGAAACTATAAAGCTTCTGAAGGGTACTATGAATTTTAATGGATATGCAGCTGGAATCTATGACTGTATTTTATAAAACTCTTGTGCCTTTTTTAACCAAATAGAGAATATAAAAAAGAAATAGCTCTTTTTAAATTGTAGTTTACTTCATCCTTTTCAGTATTGATATAGTTTTTTTTTTGATCAGTATCTTTTTTTAACTTGTTCTTTTTATGACAGTAGAGTATATTTTGATCTATTTATAGAAACATGGAGTATATATTATTCTAATTGTCATCCCAATCTTGTAGTTGTTGTGATCTATTTTTAATCTTAATTGTTATATGTATTTGTCAGAAGTTCAGACTAATTTTGTTATAATTTGTGTTTAGGGTAGGAATAACTGTAAATGGTACTTGGTTGTGTATCTTTAGGCAGACATGGAGAAAGCAGGATTGTTGTTTTCAAATGAATATATCTTTTTCCTAATACTAGTCTTAAAGAAATATTTTGGAAATCTCATTTTACAGGTCGAGGGGTAACATATCTCTTTCCTATTCAAGTTAAGACCTTTGGCCCTGTATATGAAGGAAAAGATTTAATTGCACAAGCTCGGACAGGAACAGGAAAGACATTCTCTTTTGCCATACCCTTGATTGAAAGGCTCCAAAGAAATCAAGAAACAATTAAAAAAAGCCGCTCACCAAAGGTAATGGTTGTAAGAGAGGAAAAGCTCTAAACATTACTTATTTTTGCTCCTGTTATTAGAGATTTAACCCCAGACCTCATGCATACTAAGTTCACACTCTTCTGCTGAGCTACATCCCCAGTCCTGAAAGAGCATATTAGTCTTAAATACAAGTACCTTTCAGAGAAAATTAAGCCCTGTGGCAAAAGTAGAAATTTGGGTTTTAAAGCAAAAACTTGTTCATTTTCAAATAAAGAAAATTCAAGCAAAGCTAAAATGAAATCATTATTGCATGTGAATGTAATGTATATGGATTCATAGATGTCTTTGATAACTTTGTGTATTATGGAGCTTAAAATCTTACTTTAAAAGAGTACTTATACATAGTGTATTTAGTGACTTGTTTATCTGTTTTTTCAGTCCTGACTTTTTGCTTTCAAACAATGAATTTTCTAAGAGGTATTCCATTTATTTGGTCATCCAATAACTATTCAATATCATTTATTTTACTGGTTGACTTTTTGTGAAGACTGTTATAGGAATGGAACTGCTAGTCCATGTGGTGGCACTTGTCTGTAATCTCAGCTCTTGGGAAGCCGAGGCAAGAGAATCTCAAGTTTGAGGCCACAACTTATCAAGACCCTATCTCAAAATTATAAAAGGATCAGGGATATAATTCAGTGATAGAGTGCTTGGCTAGCATGTGTGGGACCTTGAGTTCAATCCCATTCCAGAAAGGCAAAAAAGTTTCTTTATTATGCGGGTGCTAAAGATCTGTCTTAATTTATGAATAGTAAAATCAACTAATAAAATTTTAGCTTGCGGTTTGACCTTTTAAGAACCTGTGTGTAGGGCTAGGGTTGTGGCTTAATGGCAGAATGCTTGCCTAGCATGTGTGGGTCACTAGGTTCAATTCTCAGCACCACATAAAAACAAATAAATAAAAATAAAACAACTAAAAAAACAGAACCTGTGTGTACTTTAAGGTTCATGAAAGTGGAGAAGAAAAAAAATCAGCATTATAGTTTGAATATGTATGTAACTAAAAGTGGTTACTATAAAGGAATAATGTGATTACAATCACTAATTAAGTAAAGCATAAGTGCCTTAGGTGGTGTAAGTGGTAAAAAGAGGGCCAAGATTATATATAAGAGGCTTAAGAACATCTCTGACAAAGTGACTTTTGAGGAGACTTGACAAAGTAGAGTATAATAAATTGTGATTGGTCTTATGCTATTTGTGTCATCTTTTTTTTTTTTTTAAGGCTAGTGCTAGGGAATGGAACTCAAGGCCTCATGTATGCTAGGTACTCTGTCTATAATATACTAATGACTTTAATGTTGAGATTCCTACTTTAAAAAGGGTGGGGTCTTCTAGGTTGCATTTTCATGTCTTTACAAAAGTATCTTTTGTTTTTTAAATCTCTCACCCAGGTACTTGTTTTGGCTCCAACAAGGGAACTGGCAAATCAAGTAGCCAAAGACTTTAAAGATATAACTAGGAAACTCAGTGTGGCATGTTTTTATGGTGGAACATCATATCAAAGCCAAAGTGAGTACCTGTGCATGATAATAGTGCAAAGATGCATTTGCTAAATGTAAAGGAATAATGTGAAGGCATATATTTGATTTTTACATATTACTGGCATTTTTCTCCTCTCACAGTTAATCATATTCGAAATGGTATTGACATCTTGGTTGGGACTCCTGGTCGTATCAAAGACCATTTGCAGAGCGGCCGTTTGGATCTTTCTAAACTGCGCCATGTTGTGCTTGATGAAGTGGATCAAATGTTAGATTTAGGTTTTGCTGAACAAGTTGAAGATATTATCCACGAATCCTACAAAACTGGTATATCCTAATTCAAAATAACCACGTTAACAATTATTCTTTGATCTTAAAAGCTTATGAATTTTTAATTTTTTAATATATTGTCCCCTAGTATTCTAACAAAACTAAAGTTATTCAGTATCTATTCTCTTCCTGAAAAAAAAAAAAAAAAAGAACAATAGCGTACTTTATTTTCTTAGCTTTCTGTGTCTTCTTTCATGTATTATTTTTTATAGTCATTAGTTAGATTTACTAACTCATTTTACTGATTTCTTTGTTCATTGTTTTTCCTTAAATTCTCACTTTTCTTCTGAGTTGAATTTTCTTGCTATTGTCCCCAGTTTTAAAAGGTGAAAGTTTCAATAGTTGCAATGCAGTCTATATGTTAAAAACTTTCCCTGAGTTTTGAATTTTTCATTATTTCTTTGAAGCCTGTGGTGATTTTTAAAAGTTGGCTACATCATGGGATATTAAGAAAACATTTGAATTCTTTTTGTTTATTTAAGATTCTGAAGACAATCCTCAGACTTTACTTTTTTCTGCAACTTGCCCACAGTGGGTATACAAAGTTGCAAAAAAATACATGAAATCCAGATATGAACAGGTTGACCTTGTTGGAAAAATGACTCAAAAGGCTGCAACTACTGTGGAAGTAAGTGGCTTTCCAGCATGATAGATTTTAGCTTTTAGTTGGTATTTATTTTTGAAAGTTTGTTAAAGCTAAACTCAAATTTTGGGGACCTGTTCAGGCCTAAGCTCTCTTTTCTGCCTTTAGTTAATAAGATACATAAGTATTTTAATTGTCTGAAACTGAGAAGCAGAATAGAATAAATAGGGGAAAAAAGCTTGTGAATAAGAAGTTCTAACAGAAGATCTACAAGCAGCCATAGAGACTGTATTTAGGATTCATATGACAGAGAACACGATTCATAGAAAGGAATAGTGCTGAGGGATGGGGTTGTGGCTCAGTGGCAGAGCGTTTGCCTCACCTGTGTGGGGCACTGCGTTCAATCCTCAGCACCATATAAATAAATAAAGGTATTGTGTCCCTCTACAACTAAAGAAAATAAAATAAAAGGAAGAATAGTGCTGAGATAGTTTGTTGAAGATTAGCTGAAGAAAGTTAGATCTTTACCTCATACCCAAAACTGCCCCCCAAAAAAATAAATAAATTCAGAAAGATTTTTTAAAATTGAGCTGTAGTAGAACTTTTTTTTTTTTTTTTTCCTTTTTTCCCCCAATATTGGGGATTTTATTTTGAGATAGGGTCTTGCTAAGCTGTGCAGGCTGGCCTTGAATTTGCAGTCCTCTTCAGCCTCCCAAGTAGCTGGTATTACAGGCATGTGCCACTACACCCAGCTATATTTCTAAAGGATAAGTAAGGGTATTAAAAAAAAAAAAGCTAAAAACCTATAGTAATTTTCATACTAAGAAAACAAAAAAAGGGATTATTTTCTTCTTTCTTGAGCTGGATATTGGACCCAGAGCTTCATGCTCATAAGCATGCTCTCTACTACTGAACTACACCATATAACTCCCTTCTATTTTTGATTCATTTCAAATTGCAGAAATCAGTATACTTGCCCATAAGTATTTTAGCATGCATATCTTTAACTAGAGCATAATATTTTCATTTTTATAAAACTAAGGTAAAATTTACATAACTAAAACTATAAACTTTTTGGGTAAGGATGGGGACACAGTCCTTGGCTTTGTTACCCAGGCTTGTTTCAAACTTTTAATCCTCTTGCCTTGGCCTCCCAAATAGCTAGGATTATATGCATGTGCCATTGTACTCAATTTAAAACTATAAATATTTAAATGTATAATTCATTGTCATCTAGTACATTTATGATGTACAACCATCACTTCTATGTAGCTCCAAAATATTTTCCTCACACCAAAGGTAACCCCATAACCATTAAATAGTAATTCCGCATTGTTTTCTTTTCCAGTTCCTGGCAACCACCAGTCTTCTTTCTGTCTCTATGGATATGCCTGTTCTGAATATTTCATATAAATGTAATTATACATTATGTGACTTTTTATATTTCGCTTCTTTCCCTTAGCATGTTTTTGAGCTTCCTCCATATAATATTTATAGTTTTTCAGATAAGATTTATGTGTAATGAAATGAGTGTACACTTTGCTTAGTTTTGACAAATTCATACATATGTAATACAAACCTATTTTTTTGAGTTTGTGTATGTAAACCAAACATTTATCAAGATATATTGCCAGGTGCAGTGGTACATGCCAGTAATCTCAGCAATTTGGCAGGCTGAGGTAGGAGATTTGCAAGTTCAAGACCAGCCTCTACAATTTAGCAAAACCCTATCTCAAGAATAAAAAAGACAGAGGGATGTGGCTCAGTAGTATAGTACCCCAAGGTCCAATCCCTAGTATCAAAATAAAAGGTATTTTCATCATCTCAAAAAGTTCCCTCGTACTCCTTCCTAGTTCCCCCCAATCCAGAGACAGTCACTTCTGATTTTTTTTTTCTACCATCGATTAGTTTTACCTATTCTAAAACTTCATATAAATGGAATCATACTGCATATACTCTTTCTCTATAGGACTTCATTCACTCAGCATATTATTTAAGATTCATCTATATTTTTGTGTTATTAATAGTTGGTTCCTTTTAATTGCTATATAGTATTTTGTTTGAATATACTAAATTTGTGTATCCTTTCACTTATTGACGGCCATTTGTTTGTTTTTAAATGGGGTTGAGGAGAGTCTCTGTCTTACAGTCTCCCAGGAAGGCCAGTTCTTGAACAGGTAGAAAAAAATATACAAGATAATTTTTTTCCAACAATTTTGTCAAAATAGATATTTCACCTTTTCTTTCCTCAAAGCATTTGGCTATTCAGTGTCATTGGTCTCAGAGGCCAGCAGTTATTGGAGATGTCCTTCAAGTCTATAGTGGTTCAGAAGGGAGGGCTATTATCTTCTGTGAGACCAAGAAGAATGTAACTGAAATGGCAATGAATCCACATATAAAACAGGTAAGTTTTTTAAAACATTTTTTCTAACTGAGCTGATGAGATGAATAACTGAGGAAAAATATTGTCAGTTGGATAGTGGTGCATGCCTGTAATCCCAGCAACTTGGGAGGCTGAGACAGGAGGATTTTAAAGTTCAAGGCCAGTCTCAGCACTTAGCAAGACCCTCAGCAACTTACTGAGACCTTGTCTTAAAATAAGAATGGCTGGATATGTAACTCAATGCCAAAGTGCCCCTGGGGGGTTCAACCCCCCAGTACCAAAAACAAATATAAATATATTTTGTCCTCTGGACCAAACTCGATAAGTCATTCTCAGAATTGTGACTAATTTAGAAAAAAGTTATATCCAGCCTCTTATAACTTGTTAAGTCTGGAGAAAATTTTTTAAAATATTTTTTTAGTTGTCAATGGACCTTAAAATTTATTTATATGTGGTTTTGAGAATCAAACCCAATGCCTCACACATGATGGGTGAGCTCTTTACCACTGAGCCACAATCTCAGCCCCTAGGACAAAAATTTTTTAAGAAATAAATTTTATTGTGTATATTTAAAACTAACAATATGATGTTAGGAGAGAATTGTGTCAGTTGTTATTAGGAGTACTTTTTAAGGCTTTGTAAATGTGATCTAGAAAATATAAAGGTTGAAACAAAATTAATTTCTGTTGGTAAGAATGGATAATGTTTTAGAGTTGTGTTATAAGAACAAATTACAAATATTTATTGAATGAATACATTAATATAAATTGTATGTGTTTATCATCCAGCTTTATTATCTTATTTTATCTGAATGCTTGCTCACTTATTTCTTTCTCCAAAATTGTTTTGATGTAAGCTCTAGATATTATTACATTCATAAATATTTGGGTAAATATCTCTTAAAGAAAAGGATTAGCACAGTGAATTGGAAGGATGGAAAGTTCAAGATCCTGTCTCAAAAAATAAATAAATAAAAGGGATGGGAATGTATTTCAGTGGCAAAGCCCATCCTGGTTTCAATCTCCAGTACGGAGTGGGTGAAAAAAAAGTTAAAAAGTCAAACCAAACCAAGCCAAAAAAAAAGGCTTGGGGTATAGTTCAGTGGTAGAGAGCACCTGCCTAGCATGTGGGAGGTCTTGGGTTCATGCACACATACACAAAAACTACCACAACAAAAACAAGCCCCACAAAGCTGTTATCATTAACAAAATTAACAGTAATTAATACTTTCAAATACCAATTGGGTTCAAATTTTCAACTGCCCTATGAATGCTTCTTTTATTGTTTTCTTGACTCTGGATCCAAATAAGATTCTTACATTCTTACACGTTTAGTATGTTAGTTTCTCCTGTATCTATTCTCCCTTGTAGTTTTTGCTGTTTATGAAACCAAGTTTCAGTCTGGAATACTGCTTCCCTGTGATGTTATTTAACTTGTTTCTCTGTTTTTTATACTTTCTGAAACCTGATTTTAAAATCAGAGCAAAAAATACTTCATAGGTTGTTTACTTCTAGCAGAAGGTGTATGATTTCTAGTTCCTTTTATCTTTGTGATGCTAACATTCATCAATGTGACATTCCTTATGTCAATGTCTCTCTAGTCATTTTTGTTGTGTATAACTTGGTACTTAGTAGATTCCTGAGAAAGGTCTTATGAAAATGATATTACTTGTTGATAATAGCTTGTTTGTGACTTTATACTTGAGAGTTATTTTGGCTAGTCATAAAATTCTTGGTTCAAATTTTTTTTTCTTGGGACTAGGGTTGTGGCTCAGTGATAGAGCGCTCGCCTAGCACAGGTGAGGCCCTGGGTTCGATCCTCAGCACCACATAAAATTAATTAAAAATTAATTAATTAAGGATATTGTATCCAACAGCAACTAAAAAATAAATATCTTTAAAAGTTTTTTTTTTCTTTAGTATCTTAAAATGTTATTCCATTGTTTTTGGAATAATACATTGCTATAAAAAGTCAGTTGCCAATCTGACTTTTTAAAAAGTGATTTTCCTTAAAAAAATCAGCACTTTCCCTGGGCATAGAGGCACAAGATATAATCCCAGGGGCTCTAGAGGCTGAGGCAGTAGGAGGATCAAAAGTGCAGAGCCAGCCTGAGCAATTTAGTGAGGCCCCAAGGAACTTGATGAGACCCTGTTTCAAAAATAAAAAAATAAAATGGGCTAGGGATATAGCTTACTGGTAAAGTGCCCCTGAGTTTGATTCCCAGTAAACCCTCCCTTTCTCAACTCCCACTCCACCCACAAAAAAAATCAGTAGTTTTGCGTGCTCCGTTAGCCAGTTCTTGTGGTTTCAGCCAGCTACTCAGGAGGCTGATGCTGAAGAATTACTTGACCAGGAGTTTGAAGTCAGCCTGGGCAACAACATAGTCATACTACATCTCAAAAAAGAAAATCAGTTGGCGCTGTGGCATATGCCCATAATCCCAGGGTCTGGGAAGGCCGAGGCAGGAGGATTCCAGTACAAAGCCAGCTTTAGCAAATTAGCGAAGCCCTGAGCAACTTAGTGAGACCCTGTCTCAAAAAATAATAAGGGCTCAGTTGTTAAGTGCCTCTGGGTTCAGTCACACACACAAACACACACCAAAAAAACCCCAAAAATGTAGTTTTAATATATATATTATAAATTTTATCTTTGTGATGCTAACATTCATCAATGTGACATTCCTTTTATATATATATATATATATATATATATATATATATATAATTTTTATTTATTTTTTTAAGGTTTAAGACAGGGTGTAGCTAAGTTGCCAAGCTGGATGTTGCAATCCTCCTGTGGGAATATTATTCTGCTTCCCCTATCTCCATTCCTAATTACTTTCTTCTTTTTTTGAATTTTTTTTTTTTTTTTTTTTTTAGTTGTAGATGGGCACAATGCCTTTATTTATTTATCTTTATATGGTGCTGAGGATCAAACCCAGGGCTTCACACATGCTAGGCAAGTGCTCTGCCACTGAGCCCCAGCGCCAGCCCCATCCATCCCTAATTACTTTCTATGGGATTTGATTAGGACCTTTACTACTGTTCATTTTTAGATGAAGTATATCTTTCTGAACTTTAAATGGGAAAGCATGGGTTAGAATAGTTTTCTAGATTTGCAGGTTTAGAACTTTTGTTGTTTTTGATAGTGTTTAAAAATATGGACAAATATCTCAAAAAAGCTGTTTAAAAAGAAAAGGTCTCTTGCTAGGTGTGGTGCACATGCCTATAATCCCAGCAGCTCAGGAGGCTGAGGCAGGAGGATTGCAAGTTCAAAGCCAGCCTCAGAAACATTGAGATGTTAAGCAACTCAGACCTTGTCTTTAAATAAGGCTGGGGATGTAGCTGAGTTCAATCCCTAGTTAAGGCGCCCACCCCCCACCCCCAAAAAAGAGAAAAAGTCTTCCATTTTCTGAGCTCCAGCTATGTTCTTCCTCACTTTTATCTGGATCTTTTCTTTGTTCTTGTTATTCTTGTCTTCCTGGGTTTGGATTTTAGGTCCAATACTTTCTTCTTGGTGTGGGCCTTCATTCTGGAAAGGGAGCATTGATTATAGTGTTTGTATATGGCTGAACACCAGAGCTGCTGTAGCTCCTACAGACCTTACCGTTGGTGCCTTGGCACTCTCCCATTGTCACCTGCTATGTGTAACAATTTGCTTGAGAATATGCTTTCCAGAGAATGCTGCTTCTTAGGTCACAGAAATCCCCTGCCCCACCCCATACATACAGGTTTTGCCCTATTCTGAAAAATTACTAGAATGCGTTTTCATTTAATTTTTTTGTTTTTGTTATTTTGGTACTGGGGATTGAACTCAGGGGCACTCAACCACTGAGCCACATCCCCAGCCCTATTTTATATTTTATTAGAGACAGGTCTCACTGAGTTGCTTAGTGCCTCACTTTTGTTGAGCCTGGCTTTGAACTCGTGGTCTTCCTGTCTCAGTCTCCTGAGCTGCTGGGATTACAGGCGTGTGTCACTGTGCCTGGAACTAGTTTTGTCATAGATGTTCTCTGTGGATTTTTAATTTTCTTATTCTAGTTGCTTTTTTTTTTTTTTTTTTTTTTTTTTGAGCAGGGTGATACTGGGATTTGAACTCAGGGCCACTCAACCACTGAGCCACATTCCCAGCCCTATTTTGTATTTTATTTAGAGACAGGATTTCATTGAGTTGTTAGCATCTTGCTTTTTCTGAGGCTGGCTTTGAACTTGCCTCAGCCTCCTGCACCACTGGGATTATAGGCATGTACCACTGCGCCTCACCTGCTATTTGTTTTTATTATTATTATTATTATTATTATTATTATTATTATTATTATATGTATGTGGTGCTGGGACCTTGAACCCAGGGCATTGTGTATACAAGACAAGCACTCTACCAACTGAGATATATCCCCAGCCCACTATTTGTTTTTATGTGAGAACTGATGAAATACTATGCTGTTACCATCTTCTACAGTGTTATTTTTACTAATTATATAGCATTGGTTGTCATGTTTAAAACATCTGATATAAACAGATGGATGCTTAATAATGAAAATGTTGAGGTGGTTGATGATATTCCCTGTTATTGCTTTAGGACCTTCAATAGTAACTGTCCTAGAAGTCAGTGCTTCTGAAGGAGGAATTGCCTTGCTACAAAGACCCCCCCAGTGACAATAATCAATTTCTGTGGTTGGAATATGGAATTTTTCTTCTTCATGATGACTGCTGTTTAGGCAGAAAGTAGTAGCAGCATCTCATTATGAGGAATGTTGAGTTTTATGGACAAACTAGGGAGTCTAAATGGTTTATTTTTATTATGTATTTACTTATTTTGGGGTATTAAGACTTGAACCCAGGGGCTAGCTTATGCTAGACATGCATGAGCTACCCCTAGCACCTAGTTTCTCTGTTTTTAAATTATAACCTCACTTAATTTTTTTCTATAGGTCAAGTTTTACTTGGTTTTCTCAATAAAATGCCTTGTAAATTCTCAACAAATTCTTTCTCTCTTTTACATACATACAGTCTTTTGGGAAA